CTTTCTCTTCTTTATCTCCTCACTTTTCTCGGTGATGTCATCTACTCCTAGGCCTTTAAATATCATCTATTGGCCAATCACTCCCAAATCCCTACCTCCAGCCTTCACCTTTTCCTGCAAATCAGAGTAGTTTATGTAATTACACACTTAATACCTAGTCCCATGTTTGTCTAACAGTCAAATCTAACGTGGCCTGAACAGAACTCTTCATTTCTCCGCTTCCCAACAAGCCACCTTTTCTCTTAGTCTTGCAGGCAGTACCACCACCACCTGCCAGTTTCTCAAACCAAAGATTTGGAATTATCCTTGGTTCTTCTCTGCCTCTGACCTGCACATCCAATTCATTGGCAAGTCCTGTTGACTGTCTACAAAACACACCCCAGCCTCCCCATCTCCACCAGCACGTCTCCAAACCAGGCCTCCACCGTCTGGGCAGGAGTGTGAGCCTCCTAATAGTGCCCCTGCCCTCAGCAGAGTGACCTTCTGAAAACAGATCAGATGTCGTTACTCTGTTTAAAATCTTGCACGTGGCTCCCTACCACTTAGAATGAAAACCAAGTCCCGATGATCTGGCCCTCACTGTCTTGCCTCCTCTCCTTGTCCGCTTTCTCCTTCACCCATGATCTAACCACCCAAGGCTCTTCTCTGGGCATCCAAGCATCATCCTACTTCAGGTCTTTGCATTAGAGATTCCCTCTGCCTGGAATGTTCTTCCTGTAGCTCACGTCTCCTATTATTTAGATTTCAGCTTAATGGTACCTCCTCAGAGAGGCATCCTGTCCTGGACATGACGGGAAAGCAAACACCCAGTCACTCTCTGATTCATTAGCCTGTTTTAATTACCTGGGTAACAACTTTTTTGTTTTAAATATATTTTTTATTGATTTCAGGGAGGAAGGGAGAGGTAGATAGAGAGAGAAACATCAATGATGAGAGATAATCATTGATCGGCTGCTTTCTGCACACTCCCTACTGGGGATGGAGCTCACAACCTGGGCATGTGCCCTTGACTGGGAATTGAACCATGACCTCCTGGTTCATAGGTTGGCGCTCAGCCACTGAGCCATACTGGCCAGGCTGGATAACAAGTTTTTATCGGTCATGCAGTTTGTTTTTCACTAGTGTTCTTTGTAGACTATAAGCTCCATGAAATCAGGGATCTTTGTGTACTTACTCCCTGCCGTTCTCATTCTGCAGTGGTGCCTGTCTCGCATTCGTCAAGGGCTAGTTTGCAGCTGTTGCAGGAATGAGTGAATTCAGTGGCAGAGTCAGGCCTGGGACATAGGATTTTCTTCTTTCCTTTCTCTTCTAATTTATACCAGGATGTCTTTTGCCAGTGAAGCACTTCCTGGCTCCAGGTTGTTGATAATCTGCTGTTTACTTAAAGGTTATGGTAACATTTCTTAAAACACTTCCAAAGTTATATTACCTTTAATTCATTTGCATTTAACATCTTCTTTTAAACGTCACCTTTAGTTTAAGTATTATGACCTGCATCTTTTTTGGATTTTAATTAAAAAAAAAAGTTTACAAATTATTTGCAAATTATGAGGTTTTTACTTCTGACTGTCAGAGACGGGCACAGCCCTGGGCTCGGCGACGAAGGCCCAGACCTGTTTCTGCTCTTTACACGGACTTGCTCTGCTCCTTCCTGCCGGCACTTTCTCTTCCAAAAAACGTTATCGTTCACCATCAAGAGCCGAGACCAAAGTCACTTCACCCAGTGGAATATCTTTTTAAATCAGGACTACCCAAAAGTGCAGCCTGGCCTATTTATTGGATTGATTTAGCCGTGGTCCTGAGGGAGGCACCGTGGTGCTGGGATGAGGTGCGGGCACTGGGACCCGCCCCGTCCTGGAGCGCAGAGGGCAGCCACCTCTGTGGACGGTTGGCGACGTTGGAACCAACAGATGCAGCGGCATGGTTTTAAATTGAACATGTTACTGTTCCGTGTTTACTCCTCCTGTGAATAGGCTTTCTGGGCTTTATGTTGTCTTAAGACCAGGTGTCCTTTTATCTCTGGCTTTCCTGTTCCACATAAAAGGGACCGAGGAGTTCGCCAGTGCTTGCGGGCCCCGACAATGCTGGGCTCTCCAGGTGCGGACCCTGCCTGCTCACTGGTTGCAGCGGACGCTGCCTGTGCCCCGAGGAGACCTGGGAAACATGCATTCGTGTATCTCATTATAGCTACATCCAGAGTCTCACTTAATTAAATTAATTAAAAGACAGGAGTGGGCCTCGGGGCTGGAGGGTGTGAATTTTACAGTATTGGAGCTGAAAGAGGCCTTAAAGACATCCAGATAATGTCTTATTTAATAGAACCTCTATTCTTGTTTAATGTCAAGACTCCTTTTGCTGTTTGGAGGGATGTTCCTAACCTGCACCATTATCCTGGATCAGGAAGTGGGTTTTATTTGCACTTAAAAAGCAAGGTTTGGGGCTTTTAATATTGTGGTTTGGGTTGTCAGTATGATACATTTTTAGTATTTTCATCATGTGCCTAATATGGGAGAGTTCTGATGAGGGGCAGAAAAAGCTGAGCTCATTTTACTTATCTTCCATTAATTTTACTTTGAAAAACCATCATAAAACGTGGTGTTCTGCTCTTTCACGGGGGCGGTGGGGGGAGGGAGAGGGAGACACAGTTTATAAGAGTTTGCTCGCATTTTCATGCCAGAAATCTTGAGCGAGGGCAATTAAGAATAGTTTTTCATAACTTTCGTGGGCACAAGGATGCAGTTCAGTGGCCTAACACAGCTTCAGTTAATGGAGGGGTCTGTTTATCAGGCCAAATGTCTGCATCTCCAGGAAGACTGATTGCATTCATTGTACGTTGCACATGACTAGACAATTTCCCGCAGAGGAGAAAGCCTTGGCCCTTCACACTGGCCTCTCCCTTCAGTGTGAGGCAAACTGTTCTCTTCTTCTTATTGGCTCACACCTAAAATAAACAAGCCAGCAACCCCAGGGCCTCTTCATCTCGAATGACCCATTTCGCTCTAGGTTCATGTGTGTGCTTTGTCAATTTATGTTTCTAATTAGAATGTGCTTTCAAGTTTACATTTCCACATTGAAATGTCAGTCTCAGAGTTTTTAGTGACCACGGACAATTCTATCCGACGAATGGGTCATAGTTTATCATGTCCCCGTTGTTGGACATTTGAGAGGGTTATCAAGTTTTCACTGTTGTGAATAGTGTTGCTATGAAGAATCGTTGTATAATTTTTGTCAGAAAGCAAGGCCTACTTTTTTACTGAATTTATTGGGGTAACATCAGTTAATAAAATTATATAGGTTTCAGGTGTACATTCTATAATACATCATCTGTATGTTGTATTGTGTGTTCACCAACCCAGGTCAAGTCTCCTTCAGTCACCATTTCTGCCCCCACTCCCCTATACCCTCCTCCTAGCTCCCTTCCACCTCCCTCCAGCCCCCTTCCCCTCTTTAACCACCATGCTTTTGTCTGTGTCTATGAGTGTTTATGCTTTTTTTCCTCAATCCCTTCACCTTTTTCACCCAGCCCCACAACCCCCACCCCCCCTCTGACAGATGTCAGTCTGTTCTCTATCTATGAGTCTGTTTCTGTTTTGTTAGTTTATGTTGTTTATCAGATTCCACATATGAGTGAAATCATAGGGTACTTGTCTTTCTCTGACTGGCTTATTTCACTTAGCAGAATGCGCTCCAGGTCCATCCATGTTGTCACAGAGGGTAAGGTCTCCTTCTTGTGTTACAGCCGAGTAGTGTTCCATTGTGTAAATGTGCCCCAGCTTTTGTATCCATTGACGGGCACTTGGACTGCTTGCACCCATCACGCAGGACTGCCCTTTTGCTAAGTTGACTTTGTCGGATGCTGAGACCCTCCACGCGGGAGAGCCTGCCTTAGACTCCTGTATCCCCTGCATCTTCTGCAGCTCCTCGCACACAGAATGGTCGTCTCTCTATTTAAATATTCAGGGAGTGGCTGCACTTTAGTTTAAAATCAAATTTGTGTTAAAGATATTTGAGACGATGAGCTTCTATTTTAGTAGATAGCACATGTTATGAGCCACTCTCTGCACTCGTGATTAAGATAGGTTTTGGGGGGATGAAAAAGCCGTTTTTGTTATTTTCTTAATTTAGCAATTGGGCACATTTCTTAAATCCTAAGAATACTGTCACCATGCCTTTTGGAGTGTACGGTTGTACTGAGCGAGAGCACTGTGCTGGCCATGGCAACAGAGAAAGTGCTGCTGGGTGGGGGGTGGGGGAGTGGGGGGTACTGAGGAGCGGCCTTCATCCCTGCTCTTTGGGATTTAATGATCCAGTTGGAGAGAAATTGTATCCGGGGCGTGCTGGGGACACAGGCTTCCTTTGGGTATTGTGGAAATCCATTATGTTAATTATCTGTGTTTCCTAGACCCCGTTACTAATAAGATAGTATTGTGTTGGTCTTTTCAAATCCGCACACAGACCTACCCAGGAAATCCTCTTGCCAGTGCAAGGCTGGGCTGTTCACCTTGATAACGCCTTTGGTGGCTGCATTTCCAGGTCATTTGTGTGGGGCTTTGTTGAAAGGCTGCTCCCTCTGCCCACGTCCCATCTGCCCCGTCCTCATGGTGTACAACTCCTTGGCAGCGCCCGCTTCCCTGGGCTCTGGGGACCCTGGCTCAGTTTGACCGAGTGTAGATAAAGATGCGTGGAGTCAGTCTGTGAAAAGGAAGGTGAGGAGACTGGGGCAGATGCTGTCTTTGTCTGGGACGAGAGCCCTCCTGCCACAGCCCTCAGCACGCTCTCTGTGGTGATGCAGGTGAGAATTTCGGCAGCGCAGGTGGGCACAGAGCCAAGGCTGCTGTTCTCCTCGCATATTTGTTCTGGGAGCCCATGGGCTGTGGACCTGGCGCTTCCCCACTACCTGCCCTCTCCTTGCTTCCTTCATCCCCAGCTCTGTTCCTCTGTCAGATGGTCCCGTTGTTAAGGCAAATCTCATTCATGCATTTTTCTCTCTCCTCCTGCAGGGGAGCTGCTGAGTCAGCCCAGACCTGAAGGAGTGGCCGAGATCATTTGCCCCAAGAACGGCAGTGAGCGAGTGAATGTTGCCTTGGTTTACCCACCTACACCGACTGTGATCAGCCCCTGTTCCAAGTGAGTTCTGAACGGGGTAGCCCCTGCCCCTCACTCCTGATCCTGCCTCAGTAGTTGTGATGACAAAAAGCCAAGTTCAAGTATATCTCAACAGACCTTATAAAGTGTCTCCCCCACCCCCCAGAACAGACCTAGTTATCTAGGTGACATCAACACTATGGCTTATGTAGCAAACTAGGAGCTTTTATTTTTTTCTTATTTGTGATTTTTTTTTAACCTTTGCTGAAAAAAAAAAGTCAGAGCATTTTTAACAACTTTTTTATCATTTATATGCCATACAGTTCACTCATCAAATGTGTATAATTCATTTTTGCAGCTGAATACAATCAAAGCATTGTTTTCATGGGTAGTCTTAATTCTGTCATTGCAGAAGTAATTGGGCCCTCACGTCAGGGAACAGTGAGTGCCCATCTATAATAATAAAAGCGTAATATGCTAATTAGACTAGGCGTCCTTCCGGACGAAGCCAGGCTGCGAGGGAAGCCCTGGTCCCAGGTGTCTGCCAGCGGCCGGAGGGAAGCCTGGGTCCCGGGTGTCGGAGGGAAGCCAGTGTCAGCAGCCAGGGGAAGGAAGGCATACTCTTGCACAAATTTCGTGCATCAGGCCTCCAGTTAAATAAGAAAAGCTTGCGGAAAAGCGGTAGTAGGTTACTTTTCCTCTGGGCCTTTGGTTCTGTATCAGTCCTTGGTAGTCAGAGGCTGTGTTGTCTGCTCCCATCTTCCCCAAAAGGGACTTAAAGATGGAGAATGCACCTGTGTGAATTAACTTCTTTTTTTTTTAATCTTTTTTTTCCCATTGATTTTTAGAGAGAGTGGGAGAGAAAAACATCAGTTGGTTGCCTCCTGACCAGGGCTTGGGCCAGGGAGGAGCCTGCAACCAAACTGAGGTACATGCCCTTGACCGGAATCAAACCTGGGACCCTTTGGTCCGCAGGCCGACGCTCTATCCACTGAGCCAAACTGGCTAGGGCTGAATTAACTTTTGGGTACAATGTTACTTAGTATTATAGATAAAACTCATCCTTTTTCTTTTCTTTTTTCTTTTTTTTGGTAGTATTAAGAACTAAACAGTGAAACCACTTTTCAACTGAGATGAAATGCATTCTTACCACAAAACTTGTCTTCTTGGAGCAGATCTGGTATCTTGGGTGCTGTCACTTCAGCAAAGTATTCATGCCGGAAACCTTTATTTTTCCTCCTAGTTGACCACATAGAATTCTTTTTCATATATAAGCTTTTTGCAGGGAGGTTGGGCAGTTCACATGTGAGGATGGTGACCCGTCATCTCCTCTGGAGAAGCTTGCTACCAGGCTGGGTTGGGGAGAGTTGTATCCCTGGGGTGTTGGCTCTCCTGCCTTTGGGGGGCTCTTTGCAGAGGGAGGGGCCTTCAGTGTCACGCTCATTCGGCTCATTAGACAGAACATCTCCAATCCCTCTTTCCTGGGAAATAGGAACACTCACAGAAATGCATATCTAATGTCATTATATTCAGAATGCTGTTTTAGCTAACACGAATAGAGACAGCGTGATGCCTCGCCAATATGCCCTTAAGACATTGTCAGATCTTGAAGTGCTTCTTAAATATTAAGTCGAATTACACAGTATCTTCCTATTAACCAGAAAATCCCCAGTCCTGAACCTATCAGACCACAGAAATTTTCTGGTCTTTGAACGGGTCCCTTTCTTTCAGATACACTGGGGTAAGGACACGGGGACAGTACCGACACAGCAGGTGTGGGAGGGGGAGAAACAGTTGTTCAGTACACTTTGCATTGGTGTAGACTTTCTTGAGCCAGGAGAGGCATTAGCCTATTGCTTTGCCCTAGCCACGTGGCATTTAATGGGCAGGAGAGAGCTAGGACTCACATATCCATTTGCAGGAGAAACCGCTGTGGCCTGGAGCCAGCTTTATCGGTGTTTTCCCAGGGGCTTCTTGTTGTCCTGCCACAGAAAGACACTTACACCAACCTGGAAAAATGCTATCAGCCCTGTCTCTCCCACAGTTTATTATATCCAAATGAACAGGTCTTTAAAGTCCTGAGTAACCAGAGCCGCCTCGCCTCAGACATCTAGATGCTGGAGGGAATGCCTTTAGGACTGAACTGCTGTTGGCCTGGCTCTGTGAATGGCTTTATTTTGAAATGGATTTTTTTTTTTGAAGGCCTCATACAGTGGATGGCAGGTTTGGAGTGTAGGTCTCTATTCTAAATGAAGGAAATCTGTGAAAACAAACACATCCAGGCCAGGCCCAGTGGGAGGTCTAACTTACTAGTAGGTGACAATATATTGGAAGCAGGAGATTTAGGAGACAATGAGGAAAGCTGTTACAGGAGGTGGGCATTACATCAGCACAGCTGTGGGCTGAGCCTGAGAGTTAGACTTGGGGCCCAAATGGACAGGAGAAACGGAGACAGGGGCTCTTGCACCGGCCTTGCAACTCCAGCCAAGTTAACTTAAGCAGGTCACTGTAGAGTGATCTTTGACTTCTGTCATCTCATAAAATGCAGGTGGATGGCTCTGAGGGAGGGCCCCCTGGCCAGGGGACCTCACTGAGCAAAATTGAGCCATGCTGCCTGGATGAGCACACCCATTCCACCCCCAATTCACTTTTAGAGCTGAACGTAATTTATTGTTCAAATCAGGGAAGGATTGAGAGTGGAAGGTGTGCTGTTCCTAATTATTACACCAGGATGCCAGGCATTAACCAGAGCTGCCCCAGGCAGACCTGAATAATCACCCTGCTCTCTGGGTCACAGATCTAGACCTTTGCGTGGTTTTTAAAAAGACATTCCAAGCTCTTCTTTGACCATGTGTACACGGTGGTGCTCAGTGAGCTTTATAAGAAAATCCACTGAGGACTGTGATTTGATCGGATATTCCTTATGAATTCTAAGCTTTTCCATTGCTCATTTACAAATGTTCTAGGTGTTTTCTTCCCGAGTCGGGAGAGACAGAGAACAAAGAGTAGGGAGTGATTTATTCTGGCTTGTCTCCGTGGTTGGTGGCTGAGGTCTGGACAGACATTGCCCCGGCGAGAGGTTACCTGTCCTGGAGGAAATGAAGTACCTCTGCTCCTGCACCTCGGCCTCCCGGGGGACACCGAGGGGCTGACTATCAGAGAGAGATACAAGCCATTTCCATACTTTGCCCTTTGGGGCTGATTTTCAAAGATTTGCATTTGAGTTGAGATGAAAATTTATCCAGTAGCAAGTTTGCTCTAAAAAATTCTGACCTTCTTAAGGGTACATTTCTTAAAGCTCTATTGAGATAGACTTTCATACCATAAAACTGGCCCATTCAGAGATGATGAAGATATTTGCAACTGACAACATAGTTTAATTTTAGAACATTTTCAACACTCCAAAGAGAAACTTCCGGCCCATTTGTGATCACTTGTGTTTGGCATAACACCTAGCTCCCTGCAGTCAATACATTTGTAGTAGCACGTTCAGGAATGGCTTTGCTGCCTGTTGTGATGGCATTAAACAGATTTGTAGTTTTAACGAAATTCTTATAAACACCTGTTATCCCTGGTCCCGTTCAGTCTAAAGGCAGTGAGTTGACTTGCACCCCCCCACTCCTCCCCCCCACCCCCGCCCCCCGCCGCCAGTTTACTGGACAAAGAGGGGAATTAGAGCTGCTTGGAGGGAAGTTGTTTTTTGTTTTTGTTTTTTTTTTTAAGTATAGGTAGCAATTTCAAACATAAACTTTATTTTTTAGAGCCATTTAGGTTCATAACAAAATTGAGCAGAAGGTACAGAGAGATACCATATGCCCTTTGCCTCTGCACATGCACAGCCTCCCCACCATCCCCATCCCATCCCCATCCCATCCCCATCCCCATCCCCATCCCCATCCCCATTCCCATCCCCATCAGCGGGCACATTTGTTACTGTTGATGGACCTGCACTGACATGTAATCACCAAGTCCACAGTTTATATTGGAGTTCACTCTGTGCATCCTGTGGGTTTGAACAAGTGTATAATGACATATATTATACATGTTACAGTGTCGTACACAAGATTTTTTCGCCCTAAAACTTCTCTGTGCCTCGCCCCCTTAACCCTTGGCAGACACTGGTCTTTGTCTTTTCAGCTTTATTGAGGTGTGATTGACACATAAAGTTGTAAGATATTTAAAGTATGCATCCTGGTGATTTCACGTGTGCACACTGTGAACGGGGTCCAGCACCTCGTGAAGGAACACACCCACCCCCTCATATGTCTACCCTTCAGGGCTCCTGAACGGCAGCCCAGCCGACCCCCAGGCTTTAAAGGGATGCTGAGCCTTGGACGTTAGGAGTCATAAGGGACAAAAATACACTTTCAGTCAGAAAAGAAAGGAGAAGGTAGATGGATAACGGTTATTGAAAAAGTGTTTATTTGTGAATTCCCATCTCCATCCTGTTGCTATGCATGTTGAGCCTTTTAAAATTCCAATTCTGATGGGAAGGTGCGAACTTTGGGCAAAAAGCAGCCTGTGTATTTCATTTTTAGGTTCCCTGTAGAATGTTTCTCTTTCTCATTTCCAAAGACGTGTAGGACAACACCCCCCGCTCCCCAGGCAGATACCCCAGTGTATCTTCTGATTTTCCTGTAAAAGATAGAATTCAACAGGTTAGCACATGAAAATGCTTTACCTTCCGTGCTGGAGTGCAGCCCATGTTCTTCCCTGTGGCTTGTTAATGGACTGATCCTTGAATGTACAGGAAATGGGAATCTATCATTTTTATTTCCTGACAGCTGCCATCTCTCTTGTGTTGGTACATGTCTGTCTGGGCTCCGTCATTTGTGGGGTGGTAGTACTGAAAAAGGACCTTCAGTTCTGATTTTGGCAGGTCGTGTGTTACAGAGCGAGAAAAAAAAAATGGGCCGGTTTGAAAATTGTTGGGCTGAGCTTTCTCCTTTTCCAAAAAGTACTACTAATAATAGGAGGCAAGGTTGAGGTACCGCACTTCAAAACTGCCTTTTAAACATGAGCTCTTGTGTATATACTGGAGCGTTCCATTCAAGCACGATCCCAGTAAAATTCCAGTTATGCACTGTTGTAAGTATTCTCAAAAATATAATGATTACTTTGCATAGGAATGTTGGCCGTTATATTGTTATGACAAGGATATTCAAGACCAATTGAAATAGCCTTTTATAAAAAGTAGGATGCAGACCCTGTGGCCTGTATCTTACCAACTAAACAGGCAAAGGATGTTTAATCACACTCAGATTTGTTAATATGAACTCGATTAAAAAAAATTCCTTTAAACAATGGGATGAGATAAATTTGGCTTTATCACAGTGGGGACTTTCTCACTGATCACAGAATTTTTTAAATGCCGAGGGCGGGGCAGGCTGCGTGCGGAGTGTGCCTGGGGTGTGGAGCAGGTTGATGTGCATTGACTTGTGCTGTTCTTTGCAGCTCCTTGCCTTGCCGCCTTTACAGGTGAGGAGCAGGAGTGTTTCTGTGATGATGGAGTCTCCCGTCAGCCACATTGATATGGCATTTGTTCCCTCTCTGCTTAGGTATCTCCATACTTTCTTGGAAAATTAAGTGGAAAAGATAGTGCTTCTTTCCCTTATGCCATCATTTTTACTGTGCCCACTCTGACTTTAGGAGCACCAGTGTTTAAGGGTAAGTCTCTGGGAAGCAGAGAGGGTTTCTGAACTACCGACTCAGAGAGTTTAGGGGCAAAGGGGGGATTGGGTTTGGGATGAAGAGATTGTATTGAGCAGGACAGATTACAAATCTTTTACTTGTCCAGAATCAAGACCCATTTGGGAATTAAGGATAAGGAAAGTGCTTGATTCTTTCACCCAATTCACTGTAATCCGGAATACATCAGTCAGCAGATCCTTACTGGAAAAAAAGAAGTCATCTAAAAAAATTACTCCAATATTAGGCAAGATGATAACGTCAGGAAAAGCTCAGTTGGTCAGCACAGCCGATAGCTTTCTAAAAGCCGTGTTTGTATTTATTTTCTCAGGGCACTTTGATGGGCTCTGGAATTAACTTCCTGAGTTGGAATCTTCCCGACTTGACTTGTTTAGCTGTGAGGTAGCATCTGTCAGATGCAGATTACAGAAGCGCTAATCTCCTGGGGTTACTGGGAGCATTAAGAGAGACTATCACAGCCCTAACCGGTTTGGCTCAATGGATAGAGCGTCGACCTGCGGATTCAAAGGTCCTGGGTTCGATTCCGGTCAAGGGCATGTACCTTGGTTGCGGGCACATCCCCAGTGGGAGGTGTGCAGGAGGCAGCTGATCGATGTTTCTCTCTCATCAATGTTTCTAACTCTCTGTCCCTCTCCCTTTCTCTCTGTAAAAAATAAAAAAAAAAAAAATAATGAGAGACTATCACAGGGAAAGCATTTAGCATTGTTCCTTACACTGAGTAAATAATGCTCAATAAATTTAGTTGCTCTTATTTCTACTCAGAATTATTAGTGGTGTGTACTGGGGGTGGCACATACAGGTAATAATGAAAAAAATTTCATAATACACATAGAGATATTTGAGTAAAATCCACCCTCTGACTTACTAGCAGGGTTTAGCTTGTTAATGGAGGTGCCTGCCCACGGAAGGTACACATGAGTGCGGGATAGGTAGGTGAGGGTGTTGGCCTCCCTCCCCTGCCTTGCCCATGAAGGGGCCCAGGTAGAATGCACGAGGATCTGTTGGTAAGGCTGCCTGCAGTTATCAGTGAGCATCAGTACCCAGCCCAGGCTTCAGGAGCTAAGAGATGAGCGGTAGCATTTCTTTCGTGTTGTAGTCACGCATGCCTGCTGTGACTGGATAACCTCCTCGGAGGGGACCCCGACTCCTTCGCTCCTCCCGACAGCCCTGTGAGTTCCATAGGCCGGAGCACTGAGCCCAAACAGTTACTGAGGGCACCGCTGGGCTGAAATCTGCATCGTGGCTCCCAGTCGGTGCTGTTTTCACAGCAAGCTCTTCCTTCCACATTGGTTTCAAAATATAGTATATTAATAGAACATTGGAGGTATAGTAAGGCCACCAGATCAGGAAACGGCTGCCATTGAAAAGGTAGTTGATTACTCACATTTCCTTAGAGGACAGACATGCCGCGGGCGGTCTGGGCGGGGAGCTGCATGGGGAATCACCCGGTCAGTCACAAGGCGGAGAGAGAGGGAGGAACTGGGCAAGGGCCTGTATTGTGGTTTCTGTGGGAAGGCAGAGGGGCAGGCTTAGCACTGGCCAGATTGGATAGTTTCAGGGGGCTCTGGGGCCTAGGACTGTCCCTGGTTGTCTGGGACCTTTGCAGTGTTTGGGGCAGGTGGATGGTGGCCCAGAGAGTGAGGAGGTTGTGGGGTCTGGTTTGCATTTGAGAAGTACACTCACATTTGAGTTGTTTACCATCTCTGGCAACTGGCTCCCATTGAGGGGGCAGCCCCTCCAGGGGCAGCAAGATCCCGATGTCACAACTTCAGAATACAGGAAGTAAAAGGCATGGCTACCACGTCATGGTGTGGCTTCAGTTTGGGGCTAAGCTTCTCAATACCTTCAATAACATATATCCCAGGAATGCGTGTTCAATAACCGGTGAGGATGCTGGGTCTCAGACACCCTCCCCCCCCCACCCAGTTGATCTCTCCCTTCTCCAGGCCTCTGTTTCCAACTTCCTACCTGGCAACCCCCTTGGATGTAGGCTTCATGGGTGTGAATTATTGTCTTTCTCCCCCAAAGCCCTTCATCAGCCTGTGCTTTGCACCCATCTGTGAAGCTAGGGATCCGTCAGCCTCAGCACTGCCCCCCTTCTCCAGGTGCACACCTTCTACATATCTGCGTGTCGCAACAGGAGTGAACCCTCCGTGTAACTTTCTCTTCAACCCACGCTATTCTCTAGATCCACCTGCCTTTGCCAGGATTTCTGTGATTAAGTCTCAACTCAAGTGTGAGACCCTGTTACTTCTCTCCTTATGAAAAAGCCTTGAATTGCTTCCTAGTGATTATAGTCTCAGTTTAAATCCTGGGCATGACTCCCATACCCTCTTACTGTGGGAGCGGTCAGCCATACTGTGCCCCTGGCTGGGTCTTAGGCCTCAGCTGGCTGCCACCCCTTTTCTCCCACCCAGTGAAGGCCCATTATTCCTAAGGCCAAGGCCATGTGTCACCTCTGAGAAGCCATCAGCCCTTCTAACTCATCGGTCACTCTTTCCTTCACATCTCTTCAATACCTCTATATACCTCCATTATAGCAGTGAGCTCACAGTAGCTTGGCTATTTTTTACCTGTGACTTTTTCATCACATCTTATTAATCATTCATTCAGCAGATCTTTGTTGAGTGTTTAACCTCTGCTAGGCATTGTGCCAAGAGTTGATGCAGAAATAACTGAGTTAGACTCTGGCCTCAAGAATCTAATAGCCTCCTTGAGGAGAATGAGAACCAAAGCTACAACCAGGCAGTCTTGTGAGTAATTACAACTAAAGTGTGATACCTGCTGACCGGTGGATCAGCAAAGTCCTGTAGGCACAGGGAAGAAAGAACACCACCAGCCAGAGCTGGGAGAAGTTCTAGAAACTTGAGTGGATCTTGATTGATGGGTGAGGACAAGCTAACTGAGATGGGGAAGCGGTGACCTGATGGATTTTTTTTCTCTAAGAGCCCGAACATGAAGAGTGGTATTCATGTGGGGAAATGTTCACACCGCTTTTCCTTTTACTCCCTTCCGCGCTGGAGAATCCCCTGTAGGTGCCCCTGATGAGGGATTCTTGTGTTTCTCAATCTCATGTGTGGCTCAAGGGAGCCGACAGCCAGACACAGCTGTCCGCATTTCCGCAGGTTCTTGGATTCCGTGAACAAAACATTTACGTTGCACTTCTCTCGCACGAACCCACGTCTCCCAGTGCCAAAATTAACTGCTTGGTTGAAACGTGTGTTTTCACGAGGCCGTCCTCTTTACAGTTAGATGTACTGTATTATTACTTGAATTTCAGGCAGCCTTCAAATCTTTCTCTACTGTGAAGTTACTATTTTTTTAAAAATATATTTCTATTGATTTTAGAGAGGAAGGGAGAGGGGGAGAGAGATAGAAACATCAATGATGAGAGAGAATCATTGATCGGCTGCCTCCTGCACACCCCCTACTGGGGATTGAGCCTGCAACCCAGGTATGTGCCCTTGGCTGGAATCGAACCGGGGACCCTTCAGTCTGCAGGCCTATGCTCTATCCACTGAGCCAAACCGGCTAGGGCCGAAGTTACTATATTAACAGGCCTTCAAAGGGTCCTTGTGGCTGAGTGCCATAGAAGCCGGAGACTGTCCTGGGGCCCTGAATATTCCAACCCGTGCATCACAGGCTGGGGTCAGGCAACTCCTTTGAAGGCCTGGCCCTGCCGCTCTCTGGTGTGGTTTGCGTCTTGGTAAAATGCAGGGGAAACGTGCTTACCTGGCAGGATGAGCTGAGCTGATGATTCGTGAAATAATGCTCCACAGTGGACGGTGCTCTTCCCGGCGTGTAGTATGTTGTTAGTAAATGGAAGGTGTCTGTTTTTGGTGACATCATTATTATGTTCAGCAGATTCTTGTATGGGCTGGAGAGATGTCTTAGGTAGATACTGAGTTATCAGTTTCCTTGAGATCAAGCAGCCTTAGGAGAGGTGGAGGTTGGAGGGTGAGGGAGGGGAATCCTAACCCCTGTATGTCTTCGTATGTTTTTCTAAACGTTGCTAAAGCAGTTCTTAAAACATCACAGCTTGCCTTTGTAGGAAAGCTGAAATTAGGGAGGGGGACATTGGCCATTTTCCCCTCTTGTCTGAATTGAAGGTCACTTCGTTTAATTAACTGAAGACACAGCCCTTTCTTCATTTTATATTCACCCAGCTCCTGAGTATAGTTTAACAGCCTTGTTCACAACACTTTAAGTAAAATTCTTCTTACTCTTTAGTATACATCCCTACTCTTAGAGCAGTGATGGTGAACCTTTTGAGCTCAGCGTGTCAGCATTTTGAAAAACCCTAACTTAACTCTGGTGCCGTGTCACATATAGAGATTTTTTGATATTTGCAACTATAGTAAAACAAAGACTTATATTTTTGATATTTATTTTATATATTTAAATGCCATTTAACAAAGAAAAATCAACCAAAAAAATGAGTTCGTGTGTCACTTCTGACACGCGTGTCATAGGTTTGTCATCACTGTCCTAGAGGGTTATTTATTTAGCGTGTGTCTGTGTGAGTTCCTGGTCAGGGGGCAGTGATGTGTTTAGAGCTTGGGGTTCTTAATTACAGACCCAGGGAACTGAGACTGCAGTGGAGTAAGTGCTTCTATGTCATTGGTCTCGTCTCTATGTCTGAGCCTCATGTCACAGAAATGTCCGACAGGTGTCTCGTGAAAGGACTCTTTCCTTGGTAGGAACATGATTAGGCAACTATAAGATGCTCTGGAAATAGAAATAAAATCCGTGCAAAGTAGATTTAGAGCATCGCTTCCTGTCCTTATTGTTGAGAATACCATTGCCTGTTGTCATTCCTGTGCTTTCTTCTCACCCACCCATGTAGGAAGAACGTTGGTGAAAAGCACAGAAACCAGTGACCTTTATGGCTGTGGAATTTCCGTGAAGAGACTCACCTGGACCATGTTTCGTACCTGGTAACCCTCCACACTCCCCGTGTGTCGTGAACTTGAGCGCACGGCTCAGGGTGCTCTCAGAGGAGGGAGCCCGCCTGGCCTTCCCACGAGGTGGGGAGGGGCCGGGGGAGGTCGGGAGGGAGAATATGGAGCAAGTGTTTTACAACCTGAACCTCAGAACTGTGATCCTCCAAGGAGAGCGCTACTTGAAGAAAAGAAAAGACAAAAAAAAAAGTCGAATGGCTTCTCAGGGATTTTGTTTTCTGTGCACATATAAGCCATAGTTCCAGCGCAGGTGGCAGTATTTAGAGCACTCAGATTTCAGTTCTGTTCAATGTGAACGAGGGCGCGCCTGACCATTCATTGCTGTTCCGCAACTAGTGTAAAATATGTACATGTTTATCTTTATTTTTATAATATGCAAAGACATTTAAATTTATACAGTTGGAAGCTTCTAGCATTAGTTAACACTGGGTGCAATATTCGCATGAGAACTGTGCCAAGACGGGGCTGACTTCTTATTTTAGCATAAGACCTTTCTGTTCATTCTTTACTCTGTAATCCTTGGCAGATTAAAAAACGAAAAAGATACCTGTCTGCCCATGGGGTAAGGGTTGGCTTGTAGAGGTTGCCAATAGTCTGCAAGGTACACGCAGGCACCGACTCCTCTCCTTCTGACGAAAGGCCCTGCCTGTGAGCCGCTGGGCAGGGTGTGGGGTTGTTCCTTTTCGCTGCCACATGTCACTACTGCCGAGCACAGTGTTCCTCGCTGACCGTTTGTGGTCACTGGTGATGCACCGATGGAGGTCTGGGGTTAGGGTTCTTTAGCAGGAGGCCGAAGCGTTAGTGAGTCCATTGAAAACCTGAGTCTTTCTATTAAAAAAAAAAATTTTTTTTTATTTCAGAGAGGAAGGGAGAGAGAGAAACATCAATGATGCAACAGAATCATTGATCTGATCCTCCTGCATGCCCCCTACTAGGGATGAAGCCCACAACCCGGGCATGTGCCCTGCTCGGGAGTAGAACCATGACCTCCTGGTTCATGGGTCGGTGCTCAACCACTGAGCCACACTGGCAGGGCCTGAGTCTTTCAACAGCTTAAGATAATCAGGAGTCAGTTCTGAAACACTCAGAGAACTCCCAGAGTGAGTGCTCTTTCTTCTAGGACAGAGTCTGTGAAATTTAGCAGAGCACTTGGCAAGCCTCCACATCTGGCTGTCAGGCCTTCAGATAGTCAATGGTCTAATTGGAGAGCATAATCCCCCATTGGTTATTTATAAATACAGAGCCTCTGACTGGTCGGTCTTCTGCCAAGAACTAGGAAAACTTGTTTTAAAATCTCCACAAAGCAAAACGTAAGAAGCAAACCAAACAAATTGCTTTCCCTTCGATTCCTAACTAGGGCCAAGCAGCATCTCCTGCAGTAGTAACACCTTCTCGTCTGAGGGATGTGAGGGACCATTTACATCTGCCTCCTCTGCGTGTTGATCGAAAATGTGTAAGACTGTTCTCACCCGTGTGAGGCAGGAAAAGTGAGTCCGCTGGTCGTATTCTTTCATAAAGTATTAACTCTTGGAATGCCACGGTCCACAAAGTGTCAACAAGCAAGTGGCTGCATCACAAAAAATCACGAATCAATTTTTGTAGACTATTTTGTGCCCCAGGAGTTAACTTGACCAATTCCAGAATCTCCAGTTAAACAAGGGTGATTTCTGATGATCAGAAAACCACGTGGAATCAGACTGTCCATTTTTAAATACTTGAATATGACACCTCAAAATTGAGATTTTGCTCTCTTGAGAACAGTCACAAAAATAGTCTGGTTGAGCCTTTTGTCACAGTTCTCGTGTGTGTGCATGGGTGTGTGTGCGTGCGTGTCAACTGAATGCTAATGTTTAATTGCTTTGTGGACCGTTGAATCGTAAAAGTTTTTAATTGGCACGAGACAGTTCCTAAAATGTCAAATTAACAGATTTTTCCCGGTCTTTTGTAAAGACTCTTAAGTGTGTGACTTTGAGCTAATTCTCCTGGGACCATATTAAATGAAAAAAAAAAAAAAAAATGCCCCTTTGGGTGACATACCCTGAAGAGTGTGTGCTGTTATTATGAACATAAATGTCCACGTTCTTAATATCAGTTTTTCAACAAGTGATGTTTTGTGCTGTCATCCGAACCCTAGAGAAGCAGAGTAAGAAGAAATCTTGGGGTCACATGTGTTCAAGTAAAAAGACCATGCAGTCGAGGGTCATGTGACCGAAAGCAGCTCCAGAAAAGCTTGAGACGTTGGCCCAGGGTGGGGGAGGGGTGAAGATACAGAAAACACTCTGCTCTCGGGAACTTGCACCCTCTGTGCAGGAAGTCCTTTCCTCCTTCCACACCTGGGAAGACTCAGCCAGCGGAGGCGACAGGTCCCTAAGCACACGGGGAGTCTTCCCGCCAGGTAGTCCCTGGCCCCCCAAAGAAACACCCTCCACGTTGGTTATGGTTTCTATCCCTGCAACTCGCAGTATCAGAACCGCTTCCTGGAATTGTAACGTGCTGCCAGGATTAATGTTCTTCCCCTTCTAAGAAAAAATGACAGTGCTCATATTTGACACTTGTGTGATGGACTCCTATGACTGAAAAACATGGAAAGGGCTTGGTGTCATGCCTGATGGGTGATGGGATGTGTGTTATTTTTCATGCCACAGTTTGTGAATTGTAATTGCGGTTTCCTATTTAATTGTAACCGGGCAGAAATTAAAAAAAAAAAAAAAAGTTCAATAAAAATACAAATGTTTAAGCCATGTATTTCCAGAGTTTAGTTATTTCTATGGGTGTGTTTATTTCTTTCTTTCTTTTAGTTTTGATTTTATCACTTAAGGAATAACTTTTATATTTTTAGCTAAGTCACTTTTGAGCTATGGGAGGTGGGCAGTGGCAGCTCTGTTTGGGGATTGAGTCCCAAAGAAGAAGATTGTTTAAACCTGCACTCTGGCCAGGCCAGTGTGCGCAGTGGTTGAGCACCAACCCAGGAACCAAGAGGTCTATGGTTCGATTCCTGGTCAGGGCACATGCTCAGGCACAATCTACAGTGGGGGTATGTGCAGGAGGCAGCTGATTGATGATGTTTCTATCGCTCTATCCCTCTCCCTTCCTCTCTCTAAAGATCAATAAAAAACATATTTAAAACAACAACAAAAAAAACCCCACTCTGTCCTCTGTTTTCAGACCGGAGATTCAACTCTTGAATATTGGCTCTGGTTTCTTAAATCAGATCCTTTTCCCAGTGACCTGCTGTCCTCCTGAATCAGAGCTTATGCATGTGTGATAAGCTTGCAAGTTCTCTCTCCCTGGGCTCTTAGCAGCCTGCCACCACCATGTTACTATCGAGGAGGGAGGGTGTATATTTCAGGCTGGGACCAGGTACCAGGACCAGAGGCCCTATTCTCCCTGTTTGTTTGAAAGGACAGTTGAGAAGCTAAGGAAAGAAAAAGAATGAGGCTGCTTCGTGTAGACGCCACAGCCTCTAGAGAAGAACCAAAGCAGGAAAGCCCCAACCTGGGGGCACAGGGAGGAAGGGGCCCCCTCAGCCAGGAGGCTTCATGTGAGACTCCTGAGAAGGTAGGTGGAGCCACCGGGAGCCCTGAATCCAAACATACCTCTGCCAATGGAAAGGATGAAACCATGAGGCTGGCGGAATTTTCAAAACAGCAGCATAGACGGTTTTGCTCTGACAAGCTGGTCCAGGTGAGTAAGGCCCCGTGCCCAGCCCTCTATCCCTCCTGGTGAACAGGGCAGAAGAGAAGTCGTCACAGATGACCGTGGTGACAATAGAAGTTCCTGATTTATCACATCGATCACTCCCTCCCAAGTCTGTTTCTCCTACTTAATTGTGAGCTTTTTGAAATAGATTCCAGATTTGCTTTGAGTACCACAGGTGGTTAAATTCAAAAGCCCTGGTTTGCCTTTGACTGTGTCTGCTTGTGGCACCCACTGGTCCTGGGCGCCAGAAGGGACATCCCCTGGTAGAACCTGCGGCTGCTGCAGGGAGGGGACCTGGAAGAAGTTCTAGAAAGCAATGCCCTTTGAAGTTGCCTGGGTTTGATGACATGAGAAAATTCACCTGGTGACAGAAACCCTGTTTGAATATTTAAGCACAAGTAAGAAATATCTTCTTCATCTTGATATACAGGAAAGATTTTTGAATGAAATTAATTTCATTCTAAACACTGTGTTTCCCCAACTGCTCCATGAAACATCCATGTCTCCTGAGATTTGTTCTTCTGCAAAAGAGTTCTGAGATCAAGTAAGTTTGAGAAATGCTGCATTAAACAAAGCTTAAGAGTTATTGCTGCAAGACTCAGAACCTTTCAGATGCCGATTAAATGGTGAGTGTCCAAAGGGGATAGAATGCAGCATTTCCATGTGTATCTGACTGTGGAAGGAAGTCTTTCCCAAGAGCTGTCTGTGGACATCCTCTGAGACCAGTTTTCCCAAATTGCAACCTGAGAGGTTTGCACTAACAACATCACAAATAACATTAAATGTGAATGGCTTAAACAGCTCAATTATAAGAGATCTTTGTGATTGGACTAAAAATTTATGCTCTCTACAGGACACAGATTTTAATTTAAAAATATAGGTTGGACAAAGATATACCAGGCCAAAACATACACACAACACAAAACTAAAACAAAACACAAAACAACAACAAATGCCACAATAGAGCTGCACTGACTGCACTAATATTGGATAAAAATAGACAATAAAATTTTTAAAAATGAGGGGTAAAGAGGGATATTTCATTATGAAAAGAGGTCAATTGATCAGGAAGAAAAGGAAATTTAGGACATGCACAAAAATATAGATTCAACAGCACAGTGCTAAATCACCAGTGGGTCAAAGAAGAAACCAAAAGGATGATTAGAGGGCAATACAAACCAAGACTTCAGTAAGATACCACTTCACAACTACTGTGATGGCTAACATAACAAAGATAGACAATGGAAGTGTTAACTAGGATGTGGAGAAATTGGGACTCTTGTACATTGCTGCTAAAATGATCAAGATACTTTGGCAAACAGTTTGGCAGTTCTTCAAAATGTTAAACATTCTATTCCTCCACTTTCAGTCTATACCCAAGAGAAAAAAAGGCACGTGTCTATCCAAAAAAAAACACCTGTCAATAAGTGTTTATGGCAGTATAATTCATAATGACCAAAAAACGGAAACAACCCAGATATGTATCTACTGGTGAATGGAGAACTAAAATGTTGCTATGTTCATACAATGGAATGTTATCTGGCAATAAAAAGAAATGAAGTAGTGATACATGCTACCACTAGGAGAAACCTTAAAAACATTATTCTAGGTGAAAGAAACCAGTCACAGAAGATCACATAGAGTATGATTCCATTTCTATAAAATATCCAGAATAGGCAAATAATAGTGGTTGCTCTGGAGTGGGGAGGGCTTGGCAATGACTGCTAAGGGGTGCAGGGATTCTTTTAGGGGAGTGTACTAGGGTTCTCCAGAGAGAGAACCAATAGGATACATTGGGGACAGATTATAGGAAATTGGCTCATTGACTAGGGAGGTTAGCGAGTCCAGTATCTGCAGAGCTGATGTCCGGTGTAAAGGCTGTTTGGCAGAGGAATTCTGACTTTCTGAGGGAAGGTCAGCCTTTGGTTCTGTCCATGCCTTCAACTGATTGGGTGAGGCCTACTCATATGATGGAGGTCAGTCTGCAGTTATGAAAGCTGAGAGCACAGGCTTCTCTGAGAAAGCCTTGAAGGACAAAGACCGAGTGATAGAGCCACGTTGAGAAAGGAGTGATGAGTCTTTCAAATGAAGACACAAAATTGAAATAAAGGAAAATATTTGGAGGCAATGAGTCGTTAGGCTGCTTGCCCATGGCATGGTAGAGTCTGAGACCGTGAAAGGATATAGAGCCAGTGGCCTATGGCCAGATAAAAGCCTTTCGCAACATGTGCCTCCTGCATGGAGGCAATTCCTTGGTCAATTGGCATAAATCTAAACTCCATTCCCTCTAGAGGTATACTTGAGAGTATCAGTGCAACCACACCCAAGTCTAACGGTAACACCTTGCCCACAGCTCCCAATGCCCCTCTGCCAGTTCTACAATGCTGGTTAAAGTAGGCATGGGCATCTGGTGGCCTGGTGTGCAAAAACTGTCCAGACAAGTAAGTTTCCCGCTCTTAGAATAGAAGCCAACCAACAGCAGAAGTAGGAAGAATGCCGTGATATGGAGAGAAGGGTCAGAGTGGCCATTAGGGCCACTTCCAGACCGAAGTAAAGATGGAGCAGAGATCTGGGTGAAGCCGAGGAAGCTGACAGAAGAAGAATAGAACTCAACAATGAGCTAAAGGCCACACCCCTGTGAGTGGGTCTGGAGACAATCGGGGGTCCCTAGAGTTGCCTCCATTGCCCCAGACCAAATGGCACATCTGCCATTCTGGCTCAGAGTTGAAGTTATTTATATCTTATGTTTAGGAACTTGAAGTCCTTGGGAACACCTTCCACGTTCCATCCCTTTAGCAGTGGTTCTCAACCTTCTGGCCCTTTAAATACAGTTCCTCATGTTGTGACCCAACCATATAATTATTTTCGTTGCTACTTCATAACTGTAATGTTGCTACTGTTATGAATCGTAATGTAAATATCTGATATGCAGGATGGTCTTAGGCGACCCCTGTGAAAGGGTCGCTTGACCGCCAAAGGGGTCGCGACCCACAGGTTGAGAACTGCTGCCTTAATGTGTATTGGTTCCACTGAACTACACCCAACCTCTGAGGAACCAGGGAGGGAGAAATGAGGAGGACATTCACCCTTTCCCCTGATTCCCAGCTTCCGCATCTGAGCATATGGGCATGAGCCCCTCATTATCACCCCGGATCCTAGAGCACAACTGAAATGATGACATATATCTAAAGACTGTTTGGTCCAGCTGCCTTCTTACAAATCTAAAACATCACCAGTCGACCGACAAGCTAGTTATTATTTCAGACTTGGCATATGTCAGTGTCATCCAGCTAGGAAGAAGGCATAATGAAATACTTCCAAGTGCTTTGAACTGGCAAAACTGTGTTTATGCCATTACATGGAAACCAGCTACTGGCATGCTATTGATGAGGTTTAATGCTGCTGAGGTCAGGAAATTACAGCTCTCTGGTTACATGTTTCACTGCACACTGGTTTGCATCTCATCGGGAAAGCATCTTGATTTGGAGCTATTCCTTCGTGCATAGGGAAGGAGCTTGTTATAAATAAGGGGCTGGAATTCTTAAATGATTTTATTTCCTCCTAAGAGATGCAAATGAAGACAAGTGGATGGCTGTCCGTGTTTGAGCTGCATCAGAAAATTCCACTACTATGTGCAGGTGACAGCAACATAATAAAAAGGGATGTCTTCTCACAGACCCAGGCTTCTCTCTCAACCAGTTCTGCCAAGCACTGTGGGCCTTGCCAAGTCCCCATGGACATGGCCAGAGATACAGCTGATGCAGGACTAGAAGGAGCACTGGGCTTCCTATCAGATGACCTGGATAAAGACCCGGATAGCCTCTAACTAGCCGTGGGATCTTGTACATGGGATGGGACTTCTTTAGGCCACAGATTGTTCATCTGTATTCCTAGTGATTGCTTGCAGTCCCCTCCACAGTTTGAACAGAATCTACCAGTATGTCAGTTCATAAGGCTGTTGTCCCATAGCTACAAAATTACTGCAGCTGACCTGTCAACATTTGGTCATTTTTCTAATTGCACAGATCCACACACACG